TGGGTTGATATATTAGCCCGACATTTAGTCTTAATTCTTAATTCTCTCAAATATATATATATATATATATATATATATATATATATATATATATATATGCGTGTGTGTGTGTTTATCCAGAAAAACAAAGATTCCAAGACAACATAACAGTATCCCTGAAAACAGAAAATATTTTTTCTATGGTTTTGAGAAGGGTCATTAACTTTCAAATCGTTATTGAGATAAAATGACATTTTTGGTGTATATAAATCAGATAAGGAAGACCAAGACCAGCAAAATATATTTGCTGAATTTTTATTAGATGCTAGTAGTGTCTATTCCTTTTAATTTTATAATTATGGACAAATATTGTCTAACTTTTTGTCAACACTTGCGAAGCTTACCCTAATAAGCAAACTAAGCCAGTCAATCATGTGCCACGCGTGATACACACTTAGGCGATCATGCATCTTTCGATATATGGCTGACGAGGCAGAGTTTTTTTTTCCGCATTAGTTTGCCATTTCTTTCTGAGGTAGACGATTTCCCATCCAAGACTATAGAACCCGGTCTGTCCTGCTATTTACCCATAGCTGAGGGTAAAGAGGTTTCATAACTTTCCCAAGGTTATTAGCACGTAAGTGAATCTAACAGATTCGACTGGAATTCGAACTCTGCTCTCCGATTCCTCAATCCGAGACGCTAACTTGAACATAAAACTAAACTATATATACATAGTTTTCAGTGATCAAGTTCGCTTTCGTTGTGTTCTTTAGAACGGTATTAGGTGTCGAATAAGTCTTCGTTATTTGTCTCCTCCATTTGGCATTTTTACAACCTCATAACGTCTAACTGCAAAGTTTTACCAACTAATGTTGACGTACTTTTGAATATTCACTGTACATGATGGCGGTAAAAAGATTCTCCGTGTGAAAGTGGCCGATGACGCAAAAAAAGGTTGGGAACCTCTGCCCTAGTGCTTCCAAGCAAACTTCGCCATCATAATTTAATTCTTTAAAGGACAGTAAAGAAAAAAAATACGTTTCCCTTTCTCCAGTTGTAAAAAGAAATATATTTGTATTTCTATAAAATAAGCATTTAATAACAACGAACATTTAAAAGCGATAAATATGGACGACAAAACTAAGAACACACAAAACTAAAGACTATTTTTCGAAGGAGAATGACAATGTCAAAGACATTAATCGATGGCAAAATAACAGCTAGACACGTTTAAAGTTTGGGAATAAGGGACTTTCTTTTTATTCTCAGGCCACCCAAATTGACCAAAAAACATGCCAATTCATTTTAACGATTTCTAGAGCGTGCGTGCTGGGTTAAGTTGTCGGAAATTCTAACAAATATATTCAGTCAAAAATAGAAACGGTTTTTATTGTGCTTCCGTCCCGTGGATGAACGTATCGTTCTTCTCAAATGTTTTGTCCCTCACAGAAAGGAGAAAACACTTTTGAAATTCTAAAGTTGAAATAGACATGTATTTATAAATGCTTTTGAATAAGATAATTTTGAACAAGGTCAGGAAGGATGAATATATAACAACAGATGCGAATCATAACGATTCCAAACGCTAACAAATAACAGTAAAAAGCAGAAAAATATCTGCTTATCGGCACCATATTTATTTTAGTAAAGTTCACCCAATACAAGGCCCAAAAGCACTGTTTACTTTATTCGGACTATTGTCCTCATCTTTGTCGCCATGTTTATCACAACGTTTCGGTCGTTGCACGCTCCGGCCTTCTTCATGTCGAACTGAACCCTTTATTTCGCTCGCTGGAGTAGACCGTTCTAGTTCCATGTGCCATGTCAAATGGATCTCAGTTATCCCCTGTTAATTCCCCTCTGAAAGTCTTCCACTGCCTTAACCAGGTATTAAACACACACTTTTGGGTTTTGTCACTGGATCTAACTAACGCCTTTATCCACTGTGCCATGTGTCCTTGAGGACATCTGTGTATGAATTTCTGGGTATTATAAACCTAATGTCTTCAGCAACAATTTTTTTAGCACTGCTCATATTGCAATTTTTGCTGTTATCATTGCATTTTTTATCAGAGCTCATATTGCAATTTTTGTTGATATTATCGCCTTTCTCTAGCACTGCTTATTACTGGTTCCCATATTGTATTCATTTCTATGCTTGTTCGGCTCAGGAGATTTTTGTGACCTAGCATATGCGCTGATTGCTTAAGTTTACGAATTTTCCAATGACGTTCTTTGTCTATGATCTCAACTTGATCCCACAGAGGGCGGTGATCTCCATTTTCTCTCCATATGTCTTCAACCACGCCTGATTTTTCCACTTCCCCGCGTGTTAGAGCTTTCTGGTGTTCGTGAAGCCTTACCTTAAGCGGGCGGCCTGTCTAACCTTTATATTTCTTTCCGCAGCTGCACGAGATAGCGTACACACAGTCTTTAGTCATGTTCTCCTCTATAAGGGGGCTTCCTCGGGAGAAGTATCTGAGAAGCGTCGTCCCGCTTTTGAAGGTTGTCCTGATGT